TGTGTGTGTGTGTGTGTAAGCCCTCACCTTTGCCGATGTCTCGAACCATCCCACGAAGCCGTTCTCCTGGCAGAACTGCTCCATCTTAATTCCGTTATTCGTGAGCACGTCCCGACCTTGGTCACATTTGTTCGCCAAAAGCACGGTGGCTATGTGTTTCCCATTGGCAAGTGTCAGTTTGGAATCCAAGTCCTCCTTCCATTTGGTCACAGCCTCGAAAGAGGCGGGCCCCGTGACGGCCAAGACGAGCGCCCATGGCCTCCCGGTAGTACACGCGGGTCATGTTGCCGAACCTCTCCTGACCTGGAAGGCACACGCACGCACACAAACACACACAAACATTACACACTGATTTTTACTTCACCCACCAGTTCTAGTTCCTACGTTACTTGCGGAGCAAGCAACAGCTCGTGGCAAATACATTTTTTTTTTACACAGCATAAAAGCCAACAGTCGCTCGTTCAAAAGGAATACTAAAACAGAAGGGAGTCATTTCCGTGACAGTTATTCCTCTTCATCTTCCTCTTCATCTTTTGCTTTGTACAAAAAGCGGAGCTTCATGAAGACATTAACATATAATAATGTCACAAAATAATACATATCGCAAGGGATGTCGTTCATGTTAATACCCATTATAACAGGGGTCCATCAGAAATGAACCCTAGCGGTTCCTGCTGGTACTGCAGGGAGGACTTGCTTTTAAATACATGCATTTAAATATACATTCCCATGAAATCAACATATTGTTGCAAGTTAGAGGCTGGAAATAAATAGATAAAAAATAACAAATTTAAATGACATACAGTATAGTAAACCATTATAAATATGCCCCTCATTTTGAAGGTCCTTGGCCTGAAAGATGCCCAATTTGTTGCGTCATAAAATGTTATTCTATACCAAATGAAAGTTAGTTTCTGACTTTCAGAGTAAGTTTTTTTGGGGCATTACATATTAATATATAATAAAGAGCATTTTAAATCCACATATAATTAAGTTGTATATTGTATATATTTGTATTTTGTTAGTGAAGAAGTGAAAAGTTATATTTGTTTGACTGTTTGAAGAGCTCACGAAGACTAATGTGCTATTATCAGACTATTTATACATAAATACATGTATGTATGTATATATATTTATATATTTATAGGTATATTTCTCAATCAGTCTCGTGTTCTCAGGCCACTGTGACACTGTAGGCCACGGGAAAAAAAGCGGACAGAAATAGAACGGGGGGCCAGGGTCAAAGAAAAAAGGAGTAATTTATCAATTCGGTGACATGGGAAAAGCTGTCTCCAAATATATTTCCAAAAGTAGAGGATACTGGTAGATATGTTGAATTACAACATGTATTTACCACACTTATATTTTGTGATTGCTATGAACCAATCGTAAGAATGCACGTCACTTTAGGTGCAGGCCGATGGTTGGAGTACTTACTGTACGAGACCCGTGGTGCTATTTTCCAGGAGGGAGGGTAGAGGCAGTTGGTCGGGGAAGGGGGGCGGGGGGGTTGGTAGTCACTCTCACATCACAATAGAATCTTTTTTTTTTTTTTCTGCATACAAGGGCTTGGAACTCAAATCTGCCTCACATGAGGTCGGAACACATGACTGTTTCGCATTTACTGCAAAGGGAGTACAGGAGGGGAGAGAGCAGCAGGTCATCGAATTCCTCTAAACCTCAGCCGACACTCATGTGAGACCAGGCCGCTGTAGCTGCTAGATTTGTTGTCATATATTACATGGATGACAAATCGTGCTAGATTTGTTATTTGTCATATATTACATGGATGACAAATCCTTTTTGGCTTTGAGTTAACTTTATCAATTGTCAAATTATTTAATGGCCAAGTTTTTTTTAACCATAGGTCTACTACTACTAATAGTCTGAAGCCATTGGTTGTTGATGTGGTGTTGTTAAGATCATGAGGTATTTTCATATCAGATCATGATATATGTCAGATTACGGCAGAAGCCATATGCTATTGGTCCTCATGATTTCAAGTTAAAAACAAACTGAATGAACTAATCGATAAAGAAAATATATATTGATTCAGTTAATTCACAAATATATGCTATATATAACAGTACATGCCCATATTATCTGTTAGTAGTGTATCCCCTGGGGAGTATGTCATTGCGTTAATGTGTAACCAAACTCGGCTAAGCCAATCATTTTTTATGCGTCAGTCGGTGCATCCTGGGAATGTTGTATTTGACATAATAATGTTTGACATATTGTCTGTATCTCAAAGTGAAAAACTGAAAAGACAAAGAAATATTTTATCTCCATAATTTTCGGAGCTTCAAACATTAGTTTGTGTCTTGGCAAAAGAACGGAAAGAAAACGACAAACAAAATAAATCAACTGTAATTTCAGACACTTTTTTTTTTTCTCGAAACTTGAAATGGTCGAAACACGCAACATAATAAGTCGCGAAACCTTGTTTGATTTAAATGCCCTCCGCTGCACGGTCGTGTTCCGACGCGAACCGTGCGTAAAAGTTGGTCTGTACCTGCGATGTCCCACAGCTGGAGGCGCACGGTCTCCTGGTCCCAGTTGAGGACCTTGAGGGCGAAGTCCACCCCGATGGTGGCTCTGTAGTTGGGGCTGAAGTTGTGGTGGACATAGCGCTTGATGATGCTGGTCTTCCCGACCCCGAGGTCACCTATGACGAGGATCTTATAGAGATGTTCCTTGTGGTGATGGTTGTTCTGCATGGCGAGCGTGGAGGGCGGCAGCTGAGCATGAATCCACCGTAAGAGAGAGGAGAAAAGAGGGGGATAAAAGAGGAGACACGGAGGAGAGAGGAGAGAGCTGCCGGAGTAATATTAAGGAGGGGAAGAATGTGGAGGAGGAGAGGGAGGTACGCCCTGGTCCTCAGAGGGAAAAAAAGTGGATCACACAGACGTCTGGACCTTGTGACTCCCTCAAGGCTGCTGGGAGAACTGTACACAAAGTAGGAAAGGAAGGAAAGGAAGGAATGAAGCCAGGGAGTTAGAATGAAACGACACATTTAATTACAGTCCATGTATTCTTTCAAATCCTTTCCTTTTGAAAGTCTTTTTTTTTTTATAATTTTTTTAACACATTTCTTGACTAATGTCAACTTAGGAGTTTTTGTTAATGACTGAATTAAAAATATA